AGGCGCTTGTGGTGTTGATGGGGCTGAAGGAGGCACTTGTGGTGTTGATGGGGCTGAAGGAGGCGCTTGTGGTGTTGGTGTAACTGGGGTATGTGGTTTTGGTGATGTTGTTTGAGTAGGTGCTTCTGGCTGATTGGGTTTAGGTGGATATGTCATGGATGGCTGTCCCAACGCGTTAAAAGGTGGTATTGATTGGGGCTGCAATTTGGGGGCATTTTTAGATCTTAATCTCCCGCCCAATCCGGAATTATTAACATCAGATGGACAACAACCGCTAGATTGCTGAATTGGGAAGATCTGGACATTCGGTCGACGGTTTTCAGAACCTCCATAAGGAGAAGACTCACCACCATTGCGTTTGGTGGTATGGTGGTGAGCCGGCTCTTCGATATCAGTAGAAAGGCGTTTTGAGGGCGTTTTTGAGGGCTTTCTTTCATCAAAAAACTCGACAGTATAGTATTCATCGCCATCTTTGATGGCCTTTGGACTAACTGGGGTCATATTGCAGGCAGGAGAATTTTTGGAATCCGGCAAAGTCTTCAACAATAAATCCTCGCCTTTTATGGATTTGGCAGAGCAAAAAACCAAGGACAATGCGAAAAAGAAGAACGATAAGTGCATTAACTGCACTTGAGAAATCCATACTTATATACTTTTCTCTGTATCTCACTCTACGCGATTACTCGAAATAAAGCCAATGGAAATATAACTTTTGTAATCCATACTAGACCAATTGGGGTATTAACTTTAAAACATGTAAAGATTTAATTGTATTTACGGGTGCTTAATTTTAAAAAATGGGCCGGAAAAGATCGTAACTATAGATCCTGAAAAGTCATCGGCAACCGGGTTGAAGGGAGCAACTTCGGAATCGAAGTATGAGTTGATGCATGAATTAAGCATAAATAGCGTCTTATATCCGAAGGAATATATGAGGCCATACAATATAGCATGGAGAAGAAAAACAAGCGGAGAGTTTTCAGATATTGCCGCTATGCCCCCAGCCTTTATTATGGCACTAAGGATATCATTTAAAGGTACGTAAACGAGGGCACATACAAACAGCCCGTAAAGGAAAGTTTTAACGGGATCATTGAGTTCCCCGGTAAGCGGAAGCATATTAAAGATAAAGATGCTCGGAATAAGGAGCCAAACAAAGTAGACGTTTAGATTGGCCAAAAGGAACATCATAATATCAGCATGAAGGATTCCGGAAATTCGCACCGGATTTAGTACCGATAATGACACCATGAGCAGAGAGGGGAAAATAAGGGCAAATAACGCCGAGAAAGCGGCATATGCCCAATAATTGAAACAGCGGCCATACAAGGTTTTCACGAAAGAAAATATGCCCTTACACAAAAAAATGGTGATGTCAATGGCCAGGTAGTCGCCAAAACTGATTTCTGGGAGAAGAAATCGGATGGAAAACCTATGGAAAAAGGAAAACTTGACCGCAGGTGTTTCTACCGCAATGGTTTGAGAAATCGACGTTAACGATTTTATACCAATAAAGAAGAGGCAAGCGTATAGAAAATGCGATAAGGCGTCACTAAGCATGGTGCTGATGACGCCATTCACAGACTTGTGTTTCGATGTTTTCCAATTTTCAGATGGAGCAAACTTTTTCAGCCAAAAGACAGCGAGAGATGATATGCATCCAAAAACAGTTAATTGGCAAGCTCTAGTGATCATATTTTGAGCAGGTGTAGATCCAACCACAGCTACAGCATCCATAATAAATTCAAGAAAGTTGAGAAAGCACTGGCCAGTGAAATGCAAAATTCTTAAATAATTTAACTTGAAATTACCAACAACTGACAAATGAAATTAACATTTGCCTTTTACCCTAACCCTCTGACCAACCAAAGCGATGTCAATCAATGCACTTAGGTCTGAATTTCCGCCAATGATCGACTTTTTGGATAATGAATTCTACATCTCAATATCTGATGAGACGCTGTCCTCCGTGGAAAGCAAAATACATCCAGGTAGCATTTCCAACGCCCTAACTAAAGATCCGCTTGGAAAGATGCTATCATGCTCCTTGGTTGCGCCTGAAAACTTTATTTCGAAAATCATCGATAAAATGCAAACGGGAACACCCATCGACAAGCTGAAAGCAGGTTTTCTTCTTGTTTCATTTTAGATTTGTATTCTGCTAGCATCGGTTCTCTTTTTGACAGCCATAAAATCGCCGATCATCTCAAGCATGTAAATGATTTGCTGCTAAATCCTACAATGCATATGCTGCAGCCAATAATCGCAAAGTATTCCTCGGCTTCAAATATTGATCCCGAATCGAACACTGATACCGCATGCAACCAGTTGGTGGCTGACGAGGGGGATGCGTCCGCGGATGGCACCTCTGATTACCAGCATATCTTAGCAGCGTCTGTAGATGATCCTGCTCAGCAGAGCAACCTGACTCCGGGATCTGATCTTTTAATCTTTGCCTCTTTATGGCAATCTGTAATTTCATGTCCACATGAAATGTGCTCCGATAGCACTCATAAAAAAGACTCCTTTGTTTGTCCAAAAGTAGCGCAAGAGGTTATTCTTACAAACAAGAATTCGCTTTTCGAGTTTAAAACCCAAATTTATTGTTATGGCAATTCGATATACGAAGATGCTGCCAAAACGATTGTCGACCCGGAAAGTAGTTTGGTTCCGCTAAACCTTCCAAAAGACCCAAACGATACGTCAGGAGTTAAATTTACAAAGCTCCCATCTTTTTTCTTTATCGAAGACACCTTCTTTATCGACTACACGTGCAATGACTCTAGCTGTTCAGACCCTGTTTCTTCGATCATTGCATGGCTAAAAAATCGGCAAAAGATGTCTGATTCAAAATTTTACATACCCCCGGGCTCGCCTCCTCAAAACTTGACAGTTAAGGACATGTCTTCCATTTGCTTTGAGAATATTTCATTCCAGTTAGACAAATTGTATCTATTTTTCCACAATGGGAACTGCGAACATCTTTTTACGTTTAATGAGCTCAGGTTAGCATTTCCGTTAATTTTCTAGACTTGTGCATCAATACCATTTATCAAAGACAAGATCATATCCCTATTCTCTCTTCTATCAAAAAATTAAACGCAGAAAATGTAGGCTTTGTGAGGTATACTTTGCCAAATACATAACGTTCAACGACCTGCTGGCTCCTGAAGTTCCTTGCTTTTGGTGTGAGCGATGCTATTTGGACTTTCACATCGATCCAACAACCAAACAGGAATATTACACTGATTTCAAACTATATAGATACATTCAAGAATGACCTGCAAATGCAGTTCAAGAGTGACATGTGAGCGCAATTCAAGGGTGACATTCTTTGCATACAAATCCATTTCTCCCGACGGCCTTTTAATTATCCATGGGTATTTCTAAATTTTCACGCCTTCCATTTTCTACCAGGAGTGGTAAATGATAATGCCTACACATCTAATATATAAATCAAGCTTCGGCTTTTTCACATCTAAAGATTTACTAGCATAATGAAGCGTTAGTTTTAATTTTAACCCCGTTTTCAAAAGAAATCTTGACACCATAATTGGATTTTGCTTAATTAAAGCAAATTGGGTAATTAGGGTTGGTTTTACAATTTGCACTTCTATTCGTTCCTTCTTAATTCTGGAAACTTTATTTTTGCTTTCATGTCTCGCCCTTCAAAAGTTATCTTAACATCTACCGGACAGGTCATTAAAAGAGGCTTCAGCACACACAAAGACATCAAGTTTGGTATTGATGGCCGTGCAGCAATGGCCAAAGGAATCGACATTTTGGCAAATGCCGTCGCGGTTACGCTCGGTCCAAAGGGCCGAAATGTAATCATCGAGCAACCCTATGGTGCACCCAAAATTACCAAAGATGGTGTCACTGTAGCCAAGGCTGTTGTACTTCAAGACAAGTTTGAAAATCTCGGCGCAAAGTTGGTTCAAGATGTGGCTAATAAAACCAATGAGATAGCCGGAGACGGTACAACGACTGCAACCGTCCTTGCTCGAGCAATATTTACAGAAGGCTTAAAGTCCATGTATTATGGAGTTAATCCATCTGAGCTCAGAAAGGGTGTTCAAATTGCCGTCAATGAGGTAATCGAGTTCTTAAAGAAAAACTCCACCAAAATCACCACCAGTGAGCAGATTTCTCAAGTTGCCACGATTTCTGCAAACGGAGATCAACATGTTGGCAAGCTTATTTCAACGGCCATGTCAAAGGTTGGAAAGGAAGGTGTGATCACCGTTCAAGATGGCAAAATAATGGAAGATGAGTTAATTGTAACGGAAGGCATGCAGTTTGATCGTGGATTTATCTCTCCTTATTTTGTGAATGAAGCCAAGTCCCAAAAGGTTTACTTGGAAAATCCATATATTTTGCTTTGCGAGAAAAAGATTTCTTTATTCCAAGACATATTTCCTAGTCTGGAAAAAGCTGCTCGTGAACGACGTCCTTTGCTGATCATTGCAGAGGACATTGATGGGGATGCTCTTGCTGGACTGATAATCAACAAGATACAATCAAAGGTATCCGTATGTGCCGTAAAGGCTCCGGGATTTGGTGACAACCGCAAAGCCATCTTGGAAGACATTGCCGTGCTTACCGGTGGCGCCGTGTTTAATGATGAATACTATTCCAAGCTCCAAGATGCAGACACCTCTTATTTTGGAAGTGCAAAATCAGTGACCATTACCAAGGATAATACCATTCTTCTCAATGGGGGAGGAGTTCATGAGCACATTCACGAACGCTGCGAGATGATCCGTGATTCAATTTCAAAAACCACCTCGGACTATGAAAAAGAAAAGCTTCAAGAAAGACTTGCCAAAATTAGCGGTGGCGTTGCTGTTATCAAAGTTGGCGGTTGCTCTGAGGTTGAGGTTGGTGAAAAAAAAGACCGAGTTGTGGATGCACTTAACGCCACAAGGGCTGCCGTTGAGGAAGGATTTATACCTGGTGGTGGTTCCGCTCTCATCAAAGCTGTTCCTATTCTCAGGCAGCTGGTGGCCAATGAGAAGAATGCGTCGATTGCGATTGGCATTCGTATCATTATTGAAGCCATTCAGGTTCCTCTGCGTACCATTATTAACAATGCCGGCGGACATGGCTCTGATGTCGCTGCAGAGTTATTAAAGTGCTCGGATGACTTTTCTTATGGGTATGATGCTTCAACAGCAAAATATGTCAATATGTTGGAGCAAGGCATTATCGACCCGCTGAAGGTTGTGCGCACTGCTCTTAATGATGCCGCAGGTGTTGCCTCCCTATTGACAACTACGGATGCTATGATTGTAGATGCTCCGGTTTCAGAGCCCTCAGGTAGAATGGGCGGTATGGGTGGCATGGGTGGCATGGGTGGCATGGG